AAGAAGCTAACCAGCGCACACCTTTGTGCGAAACTCATCTGGAGGTATTATCTCGTTACTAGGGAAACGGAGACGTACTTGCCCTCGAGCAAATTTTGAACAACCTTCAATTTCTCCAGTTTGACGCGCTATTGAGAAATATATCCATATTTATATCCATAGTCCCCCTTCTCTCTGGTGAGTGACAAAACTATACTTCTGTTAGTTGCTCAAGATATCTACTTAATCTCCCGAGCCCGACGCTAAATCTGTCGGGAAAATTCGAAAAATGACAGATACGTTCCGAGAGCGGGCAGTACCAAGACCCTCCTTCAGGGCGACTCTCCAGGGTGCCTTTTAACCCACTGCGGTGCGGTCTCCTGATATAACTCACTTTGTATCCATTATTTGAATAGTCCTTAAACAGCGATGTTTCATTGTCCAGGTACCTTCCACAAAAACTATCATAAGTCCAGTCAGGTTCCAAACTAGGAAGGCCAAACAGTGATCGATCGACATGTTCCATACTTTTGCCTGAATATTATCATTATTGAACGAAAACAGAATGATAGTCGCCATCAATTTGCGAACTTTGGAACCTTTTTCTCCTTTCGATCACCTAGGATTTAACTAGCCTTCGATTACTTAGAAGTGACTAACCAAACCACATTGCCACACCGTTCGGACGACTATTCAGCCCGACTTTATTTACATGTGGAAAAGTGACTGCATCCATGGATTTCTCGAAGAATTGGAATGTTCGTGGGAGGTTTCTGAAAATCAAAGACCATAGAATGGGAACCTTGGCACCTGAATACCTGGCTTTAGTCGAATACTATTCAATAAACGTGGTCATGTTATTAGTATCAAGCTAGTCCTTGAGAAAAAGAACGCGTCAGAAAAGTCATCAGTTGGGTTTGGGTAAAGGAAACACACTCTTGTTGGCTACGGACCAGAGGTCTGCCGCCGCGCCAAAGCTATCTCCTCCCCCCCCCCTAAAGCGTCCCTGCATCTTCAGCAAAAAGGACAGTAATGATACACTCCCTTTATATCCACGTCGGTGTTGTATATGTTCCTTGTATATATACTATATTATTATCATAGTAATAATAAATATTTACAGTACCTTGTCGCTTGCGAGGCAGCTGTTGAGTCAAGCAATACAACGTAGACATCGAACAAGTTCGCGTCGGAGGAAGCCTCTTCTTTAGTCTCACTGAAATCTTTTCCGTTAAATCTTGAACAGTGTTTACCCCAGACTACCTCACTTTCGTATTCGGCCAGATTTGCATTTCTGCCCCCGGAGGAAAATTGAGTACAAATGAGTCCCCGTGGTATTGTAGTTTGAGACCCTGAGTAAGCATGCCACACTCGCTCAGCATGAAATTGTCTCGGGTGATCGCGACGGGTGTTGGCACAAAAACATCAGGCAACAGTTAGACATCGCAATGACGCAATACGAAGCATGAGGCTCTCCATCGCTATGTAGCGCGTCGGCGCAGTCTGAACGCTGCCATTCAGACTTTTCTAGGCGAAGGCGCGCCTTAGATCCCCGAAACCAGAGTAAGTTTGACCTCATGAAAGAAAAAAGCAAAGAGTAGAATCTTAACTTCGATTCAGAAGGATCTTACGTCTCAATGATTTGTGCGTGAACCATTTGATAGATATCATCCCCGTTTGTGTCCCGACATAATGACTCCACAATGTCACAACGGAAATTTGCGTCGTCAATGTTCACCCATCGCCCTCGTTTATTCCTCAGCTCCGATTTTCTTAGCAAGCATCTGAAATAAATTTAGTGAGAATAATGAATTGAAGGCCATGTAATGTATGCCATCTTAGTCTTGTGGAATATGAGCAAGAGGATGAAAATCAGGCCACTCAGCGCTTATGCACACCTTTCAGAAGCGCCACGCGTGTGACTTCTATTCAGAAATATGTGAAGGGTAGTGCTTGATGAATGTAGGTAGCTCATTATGAGGCTAATCTTGATGACCGTGGTCGCGTACATGGGGCTTTATTGGAACAGGACAATTGGGTGTCTTCAGCGCTGCATCTCAATGAACCATGGACTGAGCTCAGTCTCTAGAGTAATAGTCATGAGCATACATGGATCGTATATTTCCCATGACAAGGAACATTCCGCGCCTATAGGTTGGTTGGGCGGAGACCAACAACCTCTGCCGGGTTACCTCATTAAGTGACCCTTCCTCTTTGAAAGCTGATTGGAAAAGCGTCGCCCGTCAATGAGAATGCCACAGTACTTGCGAGATTCGCTCAAAGAATGCATCTTTGAAGGTGCAGCCCTCTTTGATTGTATGTGAGGATAAATTGGCAAAGTCAAGTGGCTACATATGCCTTACTCTAGGACATTCGCCTCCTTCCGCAATGCAATGAAGGAGAGAGACGCGTCAATGGAGGAAGGCGAAATGTTTGGCTGTTCGCGCCCATGTGACGAACGTGGACTTTGCCTTCGAAGTCCCCTGATGAGCCCCGAAGCAACCCCCTTTCACCACAGTCCCTCGAATTTTTTATCACCTCTGTTTATTCGATAAAAAAGATTGAGTAGAAAGAAAGCAAGTACCTGCCCCAACAGGTGACGTTGTCAGAAGTGGCCGATAGAATGCCGTCCTTGAGCACTGTCAATGGTTTGAAACTTCGATTACAATTTCTCA